GACGGATGGCAACCAGCCGTTGTCAAAACTGCTAGCGGGCAGATCATAGATGTAGAGCAGTGGTTCCCATCCTTTTAGACGCCGTTACCCACAAAGGGGGTTGCCCACCAGACTTTTACCCCCAAACTTTCGAAAGACTACTACGTAATAACTATTGCACATTTCGCTCTAAAGTTCAAAAACAAATGTCATATGTAGTTTCACGTGCTCATGCAATTAAAGGAAACACCCCTTCTCACCGCATAATTATCCGACTTAAGTACGAGAAGTGATCGGTATCCGGAATCTCCCTCGACAAATAAACGAAAGAAAACAGTACTTTTAATTCAAAATTCTATGCAAACAAGAGGCGATATACATCAATGAGACGGTTAATATTGTTTGGTGGTAACAATTTCTGGTATATTTGGTGAAGTTTCGGCCAATGCACATCGCACGTCGTGCTCCAAGTTCATTCGATTCCTTGCTTTTGTTTTCATTACCATCATTATCGAAAATGCACTTTCACATTTATAAGTTGTTGCAAATGGGATCCATATTCTCAATGCGCTGTCCGACAGTAATGGATACTCTTCACCTATCTTTGCCCAAAATGTTACCAGTTGCGTGCTTTGGCAATCTACCTTCAATCCGCTGTCCTCGCGCATTCCTAGGAATTGTACCTTGATTTCGAATTCAGTATCTGGAAATATTCCTTCAGCTACTGTAAACGGTCTTAGCACCCAGGCACTTAATTGGCGAGTTTCCAAATCAGGAAAATACTTGCCGATGGAATTCATCACTGATGACAAGTAGCAAGATATTTCATTCGTGAATGCGCATTTTTCAATTCTTTCAACGAGCACCGTCGTTAGTTCTGGAAATATCGCCACGTCGTCAACATCAACCGAGCGCTGGTAAAGCTGCAGTTTGCGAAGGAAAACGGCTACTCTATGCTGAGCGACTAAAATGTTCATCATATTCCCTTGCAGGCTGAGGTTAAGCGCATTGATTTCTCCAAAGAAATCAACAAGATAAGCAAGTTTCGAAATAAACACGCTGTCCGTTATAAAAACGTGTAACTCGTTTCCCTTACCCTTATGCATCTTTTTTCTTCGAAGAAAGATTGCAATTTCCTCTCGAAGCTGAAGCACTCGGTGCAACACCCTGCCTCGTGACAACCAGCGCACTTCTGTGTTCAATAGTAGCACGTCGAATTTGCCTCCAAATTCATTGCACAACTTTGAAGATTCTTGTGTGGGTCGCACTACCGCGGATGACATTTACTATCTTTACTACTTTGGTTAACACGTCAAGTAAAGCAGGTGGAAGAGTGCTCACTGCTAAAGCATGACGATGTATGATGCAGTGACTAAAGGTAGCGTGCGGAGCAACATTTTTGACCAATGTTTGGAATCCGGAACGGACGCCCAACATGGCTGGTGCTCCGTCTGTACAGACACCCACTAACTTCGACCACAGTAGCATGCTTTCCTCGAGGAACTTCTTTACTATTCGGAAGACATCTTCGCCACGCGTAGTCGTGCTCAAGGATTCTGAGAACAAGTACTCTTCTTTGAAGCTATCACTTTTTAGGTACCGAACATACACAAGTAGTTGGGAACAGGACGCTACGTCCGTCGACTCATCTAACTGGATTGCAAAGAAGGGACTTGATCTTATTTCGTTGAGCACCGTGTTCAAAATTTGTTTGCTCATGTCCTCGATACGACTTTTGATGGTGTTGTTCGAAAGTGATATCATATTAATCTTCTCCGCATGATGTTCTCCAAGAATGAGCTTAACCGCATCCATTATGCAAGGTTTGATGAGGTCCTCTCCTATGGTATGCGGCTTCTTGTTTTTGGCGATTCGAAGCGCCATGCGATACGAAGCTTCAAGGCCAGCCTCATTTGCCTGAGAAAAGGAGCTCGGTGTATCCAGGCGCGAAAGTTTTAACGCAGCTTCTTTCCTTCTAAAGAATGTAATATCTTTTCCTATCAAATGGGCATGGCTTCGTTCGAAGTGCTCTTTCAATTTACTAGGTTTCATACTCTCCGCCGTGAGCACTTTGCTGCACAAAACGCATTGCGGTTTCTCAACATTTTTATCAGCGAAGTTAGTGAAGCCCCACTGCAGAAATGCTTCTTTGTAGGACCGCTTTTTTCTGGAAGACGTATTCCCTGCAAACAATTAAGTAGGTAGATGTTATAGATATATATCATTTATAAAAATTAATCTCGTTATTCCATGCAGGTGACATTATCGCAAACGTTCGCAGACAAATATATTTTTGTCGGCATCAAAGCCACTGAATGAAAATGCTCACCTGCTTTGACTCCTCGTCAAAAACAACTGCTCATGAAAGTGATCAACATAACACCTAATGGTCACTGGCGTCCAACCTGCTGATTCTATGTTGGTTGTGACCCCAATTGTATCGTTCCTCTGCCCTTTCAAACGCCTACCGTTATCCCGATTCAGGCCCTCTCTTGACCCCATCGTGTCTGATTCCTAATCAAACATGAACATGTGTTTCATTCCTCCGTTCCACGTTATTCCTCGACATTTTCCCGACACCATTCTGTATCCATACTTTGTGAACACTAATCACCCTTTCTCGCCGTTCCTACTGTCAAACATTCACCTGTGAACATAACTGGTACTTTGACCAGTGCTGAAATGATAGTTTACTATCCACCCCGTTATTCGACCCGGTGAACGACTGGCTTATTCGAAAACACGGCAGCAGTTGTTGCAGTCGACAAAGGCGCCATGCCGTAGTAGCTGCATTGACTGATGGCGAACTGAAAATGCTGAGCTAGTTGCGATGTGTGATTTCGTTGTTAAGCTTATTTCGCGAGTGATTTGTGACCAAATCCAATTATTGGTATTTACCCCTCGGAAAATGCCATTTTACCCCCTTGGGGGTAATTACCCCCAGGTTGGGAAACCCTGATGTAGAGACTAAGGACTGCAAAATCATTCAGCGTCCCATGGATCACGTTCGGCCATGGCCGTCAACATCCGATTCAACCCGTGAACCAAATTCTCCAACCGCAGTATTGGACGATATGCGAGCGAATGACTTATCAACTGAACCCGAAGCGCCGCTGAGCAGATCAACCCACAACCGCTGACCGGTTGAGCCTTCCCAAACTGCATAGCTGCAACTACATGGGCAAGAAGTGATACGCCCTCATCCAGTGTTCCGTGTTGCCTCTACTGACTGCAAATGTATTTGTGTATGTCCATCAATACGTGTGTGTGTATGTGTGTTTCGTCCTTCCTCTCATTGCGCTCATTTGCTAATTCACTCACTGCCTGATCAAACACTGGACTCAGCACTTACCTTACTTGCTTGTTTGCTGTTTGCTTCTATACCTTTCCTGTAAGCACCGTGGCGTACGATATACTTTCATTGCCCCGTCATTGTTCTGATACATCTGCGTGTACCAATTACATAACTTGCTAATCACGCTTTTTATGCTGATGAGTACTGATGAGTAAGAGTTCCTGAGCTCACAACCGCGATAATCTAACCACCTGCGGAAAGACGCCATACGGTCGTTTCGCTCTATTGTGGTTTGTCAGTGGCACACATTATCCCAAACCCATGACTGCTAGCAGCTTTCGCCAATTAACTAATAGCTAATATCATTGAGTCATGGGGGACGGTAGCAAACCGGCGCGACTTGCAGGCCAACTTGGATATGGCGCAATCTGTCTTCATCTGCCATGGAGGTCACTACCATTGCAGGGGACAGCAGTTGGCTTCCGTAGGTCATGAGCTTCATACTGCAGTAGCTATGTACGGGTTAGCATTGGAACACTGTGAGGGTGAATGTTTTGATTAATTATTGTATCCTTGAGAAACCGAGTTCTTTGTTTCTTGTTCAAGCAGGCATCGTGGGATTTGTAAATCCTCTGCACCCCTCCCTTCAGTGTTCATGTTTGCGTGGGGGTTAGATTTGAGTCGCATGCTAAGTTCTCTAAATGCTGCTCCCGTGCAATTGCTTCCCTGTGTTATACTTTCTCTCTTATGAAACAAGCATGTTATGCCTTTCACATTTTACGATCCAATACTCAAGTTATATTGGCCAATCATTCTACGTTGTACAAAAGCTCCAGGGTTGCATCTTCTCCTGAAAGCGTAAAATAGAAACAATCCAACTCATTGGACAAGTCCTTTCCATGCTGCATGAGCAACTCAGTGCTGTTAGACACTATAATCCACTTGCTAGAAGGTATCTCTTGCACTTTGGAGCAAAGAAAAAGAGAATTATCGTGGCTAAGTAATAATGACCGTATGTTTGAATGCTGACACGCAGAGTGACCTTGAATCACGATTTATCTTAATGCAACCTTTGGCCACCGGGAAGGCCTTTGCCTTGGACACAGTCACACTGTCACTCATTCAACATGTATTCGTCACGTTATCGCATAAAATTCCCAGTCATTTATCTGAACTCGCTACCTTACTAGTGCTTGAAATGCTTAATATCCGTTTCAGTATAAGTTATATTTTGCAATGCCGTCGTCTATAGCAACCCACTCATACAGCGAGTACACCATACCCAACAATACGCGCCTGATCAATGCTTCAAGGCTGGTCCACGGAGCTTGGGGATGTAGCAGGAATCAGTCATCAATCCCCATACCCCTGGAGTCATGGTTCTAGTGTTTCTACTCAATGGTTGTCAGCAAGTACAAAACCGCTGATGAAGTAAAATGTTGGAGGCCAGTAGGTCGAACAAGATCACTGAGCAGTCAACGTATTCCAAGAAAACCATGTTGTTTGGTGGATGCTGTATTCCATGTGCTTTGCCTTGTCACCTCGTCGTTTCACCGTAGACTAACTGTGTTAGCAAACTTGTAAACAAGAGCCACTAACGCTAGCAGATTTGCTAGTAAACCATACAACGCGTGATACAGATCAGCAGTAGAAAAGTCAACTCTAAACAGTAGTTTACTAATTACAAGTCATTTTATTTACAAAGTATTGCTTGGGGAGATTTAAGTTAACTCAATGCAAACACAGCAAGCTCCTTTTCCAAAACGCTGAGTTGGCAGTCACGGCTGACCAGCTCCATGGGATCAATACCTTGGTTCGCATGATTCTCAGCTGGCTGCTGCTGTTCTTCGAGACCACCCAGCTGGGCAACATGCGGAGATCTTGCTGCTTTCGCACTAAGTGAGGAATGCGGCTTTACGAATCGCTGACTCTGATCACGAAGTGAATATGCATTGCCCTGCTGATCCTTGGAAGCGTCATCCAAATGGACTGTGTCCAACAGTTCTGACAGGCGAAATTCTCCCTGGCTTGTTAGCGAGTGAGATATTTCTGGCGAATAGTTTCGGCGATTTGTGTGCGGACTCTCTTCTCTTGAGGCAGTGGGACAACTGGGAGACGGACCCTCCGTGTTTTCGCATTGGGGTGTTAAGTCTACAATACCGAACTGAGGGGACACGCCGGACCCTTCAAAAACAGTAGCTTCGGCGATATCCGACTGATCCGTCGAGTGCATCGCAGCCTGGTGTTCCATCTCATTTGCATGTTGTTGAGTAAGGTCTGTTTGAACAACCGGTCCAGTTGATGAACAAGGACTTCCTTCCGTTGATCTTCTTTTCCTCTCTTCAGGATAGGCACAAGATTCTGCATTGGATTCCCGCAGAAGAATGTGAGTTTCTTGGGCATTTATTCTTGACTGCCTTAAGGACGAGAGGGGGTCATCATTTCTTGGTTGCACTGTGTCTATCATTATCCATGGCCTCTGGACAATCGCGATCTGAGGGCCCTAAAGTAGGAGAAATAGGGTATTATGACAGCATCAGACAGCAACCAATAATTTGGAAAAGCTCTGTAGATATACAGAATAGGATACCTGAAGAATCAAGTTGACCGATGGCCTAGCCGCATTCTGCATGGTTTCTTTATCTTTGTTCTCCGTGAGATTTTGGATAATAAAATAGAGGTCTTGGGATACCATCGGAACATACTTGATCTGAGATATGGATATGAGGCACAATTTTACGATTAAACTCAACGCAAACCAAGACTAAGTTATGTGTCAAGGTTGACTGCGACCAACCAGAAACTCATTCCAACTGGAACACCAAACCAATAACTGCTAAAACTTATGTTTGTCCAGCCGAACTCTTGTTACTAAAACATATGAGGGATTTCCGAGATGAATTCGTAAAAGTTGCTGATACTCTCGAGTGGTTGAACTTCAGCTTTGAGCAATTGGCTCTTCCCAACTAAATATTTGCAGCAAGAGTGACGTGTAGAGGACATGGTGGAATACCGTCTGTCATCTGTTTCATAGGTAAACACTTCGGTTACATACGTGGATGTGGGGTTTTACTATCTCCACCGGCCACACACTGCTTGGCTAAACCTTGTCATCTAGTGCCTGCGCTAGCCAGTGCTAGATCTAAAAGTTCACTATCTCTACAGTCATCCAATCCGCATACTGAGCACCGCAAAGTTCTTGCTCACACGCCATGCTTCGACTGAATTTAGTAGAGTGAACGCTATCGCTTTGCCTTTTCTGGATTCACCAGCAAGGTGGAGATTTGACCTTAAACATCTAGCCAGCACCACTTTTACTCGAGCACCATATAACATGTGTAAAATAAAGTGACATTTTGTACGTTGAACCACAGCGTTTCCCTACTATCATTCTTAACCTCTTGTCCAAAAAGAGTTTCCGCACAATAACGAAATTCATCTTCTCCATTCTTCAGGGAATTTATGGATTCTTATGCCACATGAGACTTCCCAAGTTTTATCAACCGACTGTTTCTGTTCGCAATGACTTCCAGGATGACGCTGTGTTATGATGTGTTAAAGAAACTGCCTTCAGAATCGTAGTTTCAACCATTCGGGACGGGTGCATAATGGTGCGTATTCCCTCAATCCAAAGACCCAGAGGTTAAGAGAGCACATGATTAAGGAGAATGGCGGAAACTTTTAAACCATTCGCCTTTCCAGGGTGCAAATGACATTTCCGGCCTTTGGACAGGCTGCACCTCGCTTAGCCACTATCGGGCAACGGAATTATTAGCTCGTTTAAGGAGATACTGCCTTTTACGTTATTACATCATGTGGATCTGATCAGTCTGGAAAGCGCTACACCAGATTTTGCTCCTTGCCAGAGAGAATAGGGTTAAATTCTTCTTACAAAGATAGAAATAAGTGTTGAGCTGAGACCAGAATCTGCTAACCACAAAATGATACGACATTTATAAGGCACACTATGATTTAAAATGCTGTGGTGATTCGGGATTTGATTTTCTCCTACAGGCTTCTCGGAAAATAAAGCACAACCTGTCCATTGAACAACTTAACTGACCGTGAAGTAAGAGCAAGCGAACCAATGAACTGAGGTTTAGAACGAAACTCACTGGCATATGTGAGGATAGTTAAAGATTTAACAGCGACCAGTCGGTCAAGGACAGCGCCTTTTTGGCATGATTTCCATATTAACCTCCACCTGCCGCACACGTTAATACTCCAGTAGCAAGTTTTTCAGCGCATGCAAATTACATCGAAACGCGTCGTGGCTGTGCAGTGTTTTCGGGTGGGCAATAACCTCTTTCCATCAACTTTGAATACGGTCCCAGCGATCGCAGTGACTAAGGTTCATTTCAATGCGAATCACAGTCCATTAAATTGAGGTTGCGTGTCGCAATCCAATCACACAACGTGTAATCCAAACTTGACCCCCCAATTCATCCTGAAAGAACTTTACAGTCACATGTCGGGCAAAGTCAGGGCTTACGGCACAGTCGCTTCTTCCTTTGCTGTGACCAGCGGTGTTCGCAAAGATTGCGCTGTGTCCCCTTTCCTCTTCAATTTAGCCATCGAAGATGTTGTCCAAAGAGCACTTGAAGGTGTCCAGAACTGCGGTGTTGAGTTCCCCCTGGAGACAAAGTCATGGACATGGACTACACCGGTGATATCGCCTTGCTAGGGGACGAGCCAAAAACCGTCTATAGCATTCTGGACCGTTTAGTGATGTATCCGTCTAAGTACGGTTTATGATTCACTCCGGGAAAATGTAAAACGCTGCTCCAGGACTGGCAGGTGCGTGGGCCCGCGCTCACCATTGCTGGACATGTTCTGGAGCAAGTCCCTTGCTTTACTTATCTAGGGAGTTGAATCACGTCTGTTGGCGGCTTTGAAGATGAAGTCTCACAACGGATTGCAAAGGCCCGCCTCACATTCATTAAATTGAGACACCTATGGCGTTGTCGTGATGTCAGTCTCAAGCTCAAGGGCAGGGTGTACAATGCTTCTGTCCGTGCGGTACACTTGTACGGCTGGAAGACTTGGTCTATTCGCTCGGAAGACATGAAGCGGCTGTCAAAGTTCGACAATCGCTGTCTACGAAGGATTGCTCGGGTGTGATGGTAACACCACGTAAGCAACGCAGAGGTGCGAGACCGAGTGGTTGAAGTGAGTAGTGCCAGTCTTCAGGAGATTATTCTCCGACATCGCATGCGTTGGCTCGGACAAGTTTTTGCGCATGTCAGCCCATCGCCTTCTACGTCGAGCGCCATTTACACTCCCAGGGAGCGAGTGGAAAAGTGCTGCGGTGGACAGCCAATGACGTGGAGAAGGAGTATAAAGAAGGCAACCTTAAGTTTGGCCGCAGTCGGACCAGTCCGTATTCCAGGTTGGGGACCACGCGATGCTGCATCTCAGGGGTCGGAAACATTGAACGTCCTGACCTTCAACCGACATCAGTGGTGTCAACCTTGTTCTGCCATTATATCTCCCCTTTAATACACACAAGAAACTCAGAAAACAAAAACAAAAAAATCAACATGGTGTGCGTAAAACCAAAAATAGTGTTTTCCCATTTTTTAACCGCAGTTCCTGTTCCCATCTTCTCCACTTTTTTCTTCTGTCAGGATTCAGATGGCATAATGTCTGTTAACAGACTGTGAATATATATATATATATATATATATATATATATATATGTATATCAGAATATGTCCTCAATACACTGCACCCCAATCTGTAACAGCAAGTCTGTTTGATCAGTGAACGTCGGATCATACCTAGTGCAGGATGCACCGAAGTACACGAAGGCATCCTGAATAAAAGTTCCAGAAGTAAGGCCCAATTAATCCAGGCATGAGTAATATCAATAGAAAACGATGACTTGTAAAACTACGTCAGAAGACCATCACATACAGAATTATGGCCTTGTTTTACATATGATCCTGAGAGCCGTGTGGAAGGCAGGAATCAGAAATGCCGGAAAGACAAGGAGGAAGAAAAGTGCAACACAACTAAAGCGATTAGATGGGATATTCCCTAAAAGTTAGGTCAACTAGTGCACACATAATAATACATGCACGAGAGCAAGGCTTTGTCAACCTCGACGGATGGTGTTTGCCTGGTCAGTAGCCAAGGGCTTAAGATGCCCCACCTGGAATCCAATGTTCCCGATTCAAGCCTGCGTGAACGCAAGCGACTTGGCAGTGTCCACCGTCTGCATGCGAACAGTGGCGGTTGCGTG